TGATCCACCCACCTCGGCCTCCCAAAGTGCTAGGATTACAGGCAAGAGCCACCGCGCCCGGCCTGGGAAACAATTTTTAAAAAATCGTTTGTGCAGCCCCAGTGCTTGGCTGCATAAATGCCTTGTGAAATGTGCTTACGCCAGTGTAGACAGAACCACACAGCAAGGCGGCTAATCCAGTTGCTTGGACTTTTTTTTTTTTTTTTTTTTTTTCCCAGATCTTCTGGCAATGTCTGGGTCTAGGGCCTGGGCCAAGTGGAAACTGATAACAAAAGGGACCAGGAGGAGCTACAAACCTGAAATCCGCTTTTTCCTGCAGTAGATCAAGGCCACTACAGTAGCAACAAAGACCGCTACAGCAATCCCAGCGACCACGGCCGCAATGATCCCCATCCGCGAAGAGCTGCTCACTCTGGGCACTAGGGAAGACAGGACGGGCAGCACTCTCTTGTCCCATCTCCCCCCTCCTCCAGTGCTATGTGCCAGTGCTTGTCACCCAAAGCTCTTCTGTGTCTGAGTCACTCACCACATCCCAAGCCACACCTGCACGGGGTGTCTGTGGCCGGACTTGTGCCTCCTCCCTACCCAGGTTTCTCCGCCAAACTAATAAAGTGCACTGGTGAGCATGCAGGAGCAGAGAGAAGAGTTCCCCTTAGCCCTCCGAGGCAGTGGGGAGAGTGGCCCCATAGCTTCCCATAGCTGGAGGCATCATTACTCTATGGAGCACAGCCTTGAACAGCCCACGACATGCCAGGCCTTCTGGAGTGTATGGCTATACCGTGAGTCATGAGAATAAACGAGGGGAAACTCAGCTCTTAAGAATGCCTCTGCATCAATGAGGGAACTCTGCTTCGCTGCCATCTTTAGTCTGGGGCCTGCATTTCAAAGTGGAACAACAGCCTGGCCACCTATTACTTGAAACCTGAGGGCTCCAAGCTCTGGCCCTTACTCCTGCTCATTGGCCAATACTTAGCCAGACCTCCACAACTCTCCTCTTTGCTCCAGCACCCAATCTTGCTGCTGTGGCCTTTCTCAGATCTCCATGTAGGCCCATGTGACCTTAGCCCTTGTCCATCCCCTCCTCTCTCTCCCTACATCTTGGCAGACTCCCCATACCTTGGACAGTGATGGTCACAGGCTTGGAAGAGCGCAGCGTGTGGCCTACGCTTCCTGTGCAGTGGTAATCACCGCTGTGACTGTGGTTTGCTTGTGGGATGGCGAAGCTTGTGTCTAAACGGGAAAATTTCTTGGATTTTCCATTCTGGAAGAATGTGACTTTGACCAGAGGCTTGTCTTTCCAGCTGTGGCACCTCAGCATGATGGTTTCTCCCTCCTGGAACTCCAGCCTAGGGGTCTGGATCGCCAACCACTCTGAAAGACACAAATATGAGAAGAAAAAGTTGTAAGGCTAGACTCCAAGGGTTTTTCAGTCTCATTCTCAGAGGTACATTACTCACAGGACTTGACATGGCGTCTGGCAGAGAGAAATGAAGATGCTTCATGACAGATGTGAGCATTCTCTTATAGGCAATATATGGTATTTATATCTATGGGTCCTCTAAAAAACAGAAGTTTTCAGAAGTTTCAAAGATGTAGAACAGATATTTAAAACAATTCTGAGGAATTTAAAATACCACGTTTGAGCAGACAAATGAGTGCATTTCAGTAACTATAGAGGTTACTCAACAGGACCTGAAGCCATCAGTTTTTGTGGTCTGGGGATTACTAATTTAATGGTAAATTTTGTACAAGCTTTGGGAAGTGAGGGTGGGCAGCCACCAACTGTATTTGCAATAAAATAGAGCCTTTTTTCCCTCTTTTTTCCACATGTTGTTGCTGGTTTAAAAAAAAATAGACCCTTAATCATACCTCACCAGCCCTGTCTTAGTCTGTCTTAGGCTGCCATAACAAAATACTATATACTGGGTGGTTTATGAACAGCAGAAATTTATTTCACCCTGTTCTGGAGGCTGAGAAGTCCAAGATCAGGTACTTGCAGCTTCTTTGTCTGGTAAGAGCCTACTTCTTGGTTCACAGCTGAGGCTTCTTGCTGTGTCCTCACATGGTAGAAAAGGCCTTTGAGCTCCCTTGGCCCTCTTTTATAAAGGCACTAATCCCATTCACAAGGGCTGTGCCTCATAACCTAATCACCTACCCAAAGACCTCACCTCCTAATACAATCATCCTGGGGGTTGCTGTTTGATTAATTCACATCATATGAATTTTGGGGACACAGAAACATGCAGACCATACCACACTCTCAATCTTCCATCCACATAAGAAATTAAAAGGTATGACTTTTGAATTCCCACAGGTGAATTCAACATTCAGTTGTGACCCTGAATAAAAGGAATTCAAGAAAAAATTAAAACTTAAAATCACTTTTTCCTTTTTGCCTACAAACATCCTCACTCCCAATAATTCCTTCCCTTCATTGATGGCAGAGTTATCAGATTCCAAAGTTCAGCTACCTCAGAAGACAAATCTATTAACAAAGTTTCAATAAACTTAATAAAGAAGAAAATCAAATTGCTCTATCATAGAAATACATATAATTTATTCTATCTTATTTAAATAAAAATTTATTTAAGAAAACAGTATTCTATATATGAAAGGCCAGGTACCATTATTGAGATGGCATGAAATAGAAACTAAAGGAGGGATTGGGATTTTGGGTGTGCTCTTGGGTCTAATCAGCTTCATTTCTTTGTACAATGGATGGGTGGGACCAGGTAGTTTCTCTGTAACAGTGCTTCAGATCTCAATTTTTTTTTTTTTTTTTTTTGCAGCAAAGTTTTTCTTTTTTTTCCTGGCTGGAGTGCAATGGTGCAATTTTGGCTCACTGCAACCTCTGCCTCCCGGGTTCAAGGGATCCTCCTGCCTTAGCCTCCTGAGTAGCTGGGATTAGAGGCATGTGCCACCACACCAGGATAATTTGTATTTTTAGTAGAGACAAGATTTCTCCATGTGGGGTCAGGCTGGTCTTAAACTTCTGATCTCGGGTGATCTGCCCACCTCGGCCTCCCAAAGTGCTGGGATTACAGGTGTGAGCCACTGCACCCAGCCCTCAATTTTTATTATCTGTATTTTTTTCATTTTCATAGGAAGGGTTAGAAGTACTATCAGCTGTTTCAGGGAAGCCAATAGAGAGAGGAACTATGATGTCATGGGCATCTTTTGAGGTTGACTCAATGTTTATTCTCCTTCATCAACAGAAAATGAATCCACTGCCAGGATCTCTCTGGTACAGCAGCAGCCTTAAAGGACCACAAAAACATCACCCTCTCAATGAACAGGAGAATCTAAAACACTGAATGTTTACCTGTGACCATCGCTGGGGTTTATGCGCCAAGAGTGCAGCTCAAGTAAAAACAATAGAAATGTGCTTATATTTTCAGACATTGGAAGCAGGCAGAAACAGTATCTAAGCCAGGCTTGGTGGCTCACACCTATAATCCCAACACTTTGAGGCTGAGGAGGGAAGATCACTTGAGGGCAGGAGCTCAAGACCAGCTTGGGCAACATAGTGAGACCCTGTCTCTATAAAAAGAAATAAAAATAATTAGCTGGGCATGGCTGGTGGTGTGCACCTGAAGTCCCAGCTACTTGAGGAAAAAGAAAGAAAGAATATTATCTTCTAGGAGCATTTTCTCTACAGTCTTTTTAACTGAACACTGTCAAATATTGACATAAACCTAAATCAGATTATGTGACTCCTTTAATTAAAGCCATCTCCACTTACTCAGGAATAAAAGTCAGAATAATTGCAACAGCCTACCAGCCTCTGCTTGACCTCCCCTCCCCCTGCCCTCACCTCTGACTTCATCTTCCAGGCTGAATTCTGCACTCCCACCTCCTCACACCTGTCTGGCAGCCTTCCGCCTTAGGGACATTACAGGTCTATTCCCTCCAACCTCTCTGCTTTACCACACAGCCTCAGGTGAAAGGTAGTTTTTTAAAGTAGGGAATTCCTTCTGCTCCTCTCACACTCAGCTGTCTGTGGCCTTGTAACCCTCTTGCTCAATCAAGACTGAGGCAAAAACAACCTAACATATACTGAGGAAATTACTAGTAATTCCTCCCTCCCCCACCACACATGCTAAGCAAAGTTGGGGGGTGAAATGGGGAATGAATGAGATCAGCAGTGCTTCCCAGTAAGCAGGCCACCCCCCTTTCCTGTCAACCTTTGCCTGTAAACAGATTTCATCCGTCCTGGCCCTCCCAGGTCCACCCCAGGGCCTTCCTCCACTGACCGGAAAGCACAGTCAGATGCACGGGGTCGCTGAGGCTGGTCCGGCCGGTCTGGCACCTGTATTCCCCGCTGTCATTGTTGTTGGCCTTGAAGGTGTAGCTGGGCTGCTTTTGGGTGGGGATGAGATTTCCACTGTGGAACCACTGAGTGGAGTCGCTCTCAGGGCTGTGAGCCCCCTGGCACATCAGAGTCACAGAGTCCTCCTGGAGCACATAGATCCATGGGGGCTCGAGCTTCAGCACAGCCTTCGGGGGAGCTGCTGAGAGGCAGAGAGTGGAAAGGGATGTAAATAAATAACCCTGAAGGTACTGTGGATGCCAAAGGAACTCCCAAGGGAGGTCAGGCACCAAAGAATCCTATTGTAGACTCAGTTCAAGATCTGTACTTGCAGCAGCCTCATTCCCTTGGGTCTTCAGTGGATCTAAGAAGCAAATCCCAGACCCCACTAAAATAGGGGAACTGCCTATGCTGAACCCAAGCCTGATTCTCAGTGGCACAGGCATATCCCCCCAGAGTAAACACAGCATCATATTATGAGGAAATAACACTGTCAATACAAGGAAGCAAGGAGCATACTCACCAGCTTGACTGTCTGCAGAAGCTGTAAAACAGAAGGCAGTGGGTGAACACTGAGCAGGAGAAGATGGCTGCAAATTTAGCGGCATATGTGAATGGGGCGGGGGAGGTGAGCTTAGGCTCCTCCTTCTCCAGAACCCATCTCAAGATCCTGTTTCCAGTTATTCTCTTATACGAGTATTCACTTCACATGTCCCCCTTATCTCATTCCCTGTCCCTCCTCATGGCTACACAGTACACATGAATGTTTGGTGCAGAATGGACTTCCCAGGTACTACGAAACTAGCTCTGAGTTCTGGCCTCAGGAACCATTGGAACACTTAAGAATTCAGGGTCCTTTCTCCTCTTTCAATCTATTGTCTGCTTCCAGGGCTCAGGCCTGCTCCTTACCACACTGGTGCCTGGAGTCCCGGCAGCAGGAGTGGCTGAAATTGCCCTATTTCAGAATGACCCTCACTCACCCAGCAGCAGCAAAACCGTCAGTAGTTGAAGCAGCCACAGGTTGCCAGGACATACATTCTGAGACATTTGGGTCTCCATAGTCATCCCACACTGTGCCAAAGTCTAGTGGGGTTTAAGAGACAAGCTTAGAAAAGAGGAAGGAAATGATTTCATCTTCTTGTGCAACTGTCATCAGTCCTCAATTCTGTTTCTGCTAACCAATCAGGAACAATTCCAGGTAGGAGTTGAGTTTGCTTTACAGATAAATGTATTATGTATCCCCTTGTGTCCTTGTGAAAACTCTGGGAAGGGGTTACTGTTGTGCTGGCCAGTATACTCCTTGTTAGAGTATTCCTTTTTGTTTAAGGTCATTCCTGGTCAAAATCTCATCAAAAGATATTAGAGCAGTTTGCTTCCAACTGGAGCCAAAAACAACCAGCAATGCAGCCTGCTGGAGAAGTGGGTACCAGAGCCTGGGAAGAAGATAATGTCCAGCTGTTTTTACCCAAAGTAGAAAATCACCCTGTTGGCCAGGCACGGTGGCTCAGACCTCTAATCCCAGCACTTTGGGAGGCCAAGGTGGGAGGATCACCTGAGGTCAGGAGTTTGAGCCTAGCCTGACCAACATGGCGAAACCCGTCTCTATTAAAAATACAAAAATTAGTTGGGCATGGTGGTGGGCACCTGTAAACCCAACTACTCAGGAGATTGAGGCAGGAGAATCGCCTGAACCTGGGAGGCGGAGGTTGCAGTGAGCCAAGATTGTGCCATTGCACTCCAGCCTGGGCAACAGAGTGAGACTCCATCTCAAAACAAAAATGAAAAAGAAAATTACCTTGTTTTTCACAATAGTTTCTCCTACTGAAATTCTCTTTCCTTGAAGCTGAAACCTTTTCTCCCCCAGAAACCGTAAGTGGTTTTCCCTCTCTGTTTTCCATTACAGAAATTGTGAGGAACTACCCATGCAGAGCAGTTGATTTGCACACACATTTATATATTTCAAAAATGGAACACAAATAATGGGGTTATTGGCAAACATTTTTGAAGGGGATTTAGGCACTATTTATTAAAAATGTGAAATTTGTAAGTCTTATCACCTAATAATTCCATTTCAAAAAATATATCCAATAGAAACACTTAAATGTGAAAAAAATATCAACAAGACTGTTCATTGCAGTATTGTAATACATAAGGAGAAATGTCAAAATTAGAAGATTAAAATAGAGACAGTTCAAGACCTTCCTGGGTAACAGAGTGAGCTCTCATCTCTATAAAATTAATAAAAAATAAAATGGGGATTTTATTTATTAAATAAATAAAATTTATTATTTTCATAAATTTAATAAAATAAAATAGCAACTGCCTTATAGAGTTGTTTTGAAGGTTAAATAATGTCAGGTAAATTAATTGTATAAAGTACTTACAATAGACACAAAAATATCAGAAAATGTGATATTTTCTGATAGTTTAAATAATTTAATTACTATCTTTATGCTACTCTTTTATGGGTGGGTCTGTGAGAAGATAGTGATACCCCTGTACTTAGAAGATGGTATTTTACCTGAAAAGGGTGGTCATTCCCAGTGTCTAAGGAGGACTGTTTCCCAGAGCAGAGATTCCAAGGGGAATACCCACACACTGAACATTAAATGCACACTTCATTACTACACAGGCAAAAGAATGTTATGCTCACGTATGCAGTTGCAATGGAAGCAGAAAATTGTTCTCAGGTCATCTATACCCTGCTCACCCAAGAGATATACTACACTCCACCTCAATCCAACTGCAAAATTTCAGGACAAAGATTTTGTACCTAAGTCAGCTTTTAAAATACACAAATATGTTTAAACTTTTCCTAAAACTTTTTTGTTTTGTTTTGTTGTTGTTGTTGTTGTTGTTTTGAGAATGAGGTCTCGCTATATTACCCAAGCAGGTCTTGAAGTCCTGGACTCAAACTATCCTCCCGCCTCTGCCTCCTTAAGAGCTGGAGTTATAGGCATGAACCACAGAGTCCAGCACTTTTCCTAGAACTTTTCTCAGCGTTTTATAGCAGTATATCCTGCTCAATCACCAAGACCACATCCTGAGTGACTCCTGGGGACTCTCTGTGGCAAGGACTTAAACCTTCTGGGTAGTCAGATAAAGCTATTCTCAGCAAGGAGAAATTTCCTAGAAATCAGCCACAAATAATTGTAGATGCTTCAGACTTTTCATAATACTTTGTATTCCTCATTTCTAAGTAACTATAGTACGCTCTGTGATTTTTATATTTTTTAATAATTTCTTTAATTTGTTTGATTTTCATTGTCATTTAGTAAAATCTCTTGAGACTCCCAGCCTGTTCTTGGGAAATCAAGAGAAGGGATTTTTGTCCACTCTTTGGCCAGAACATTGAAAGAGAATTGGCATATTCCCTAGAGACCTATTATGGCGGGGTCAGTGGTTATTAAATAAGAAGATTCTAGAGGGAAATTGTGATGTGGGATTGAATCAAAGCCTCTAGGTCAAGCACCCCCTCCCACTGCACAGCAAAGCATGAGGTGCACTGTGGTGTTGGAGTGTGGAAGTAGGCATCTCCTTTCACCTAGACAGTGCCATAGCACTCACATTCCCAGGGCATCTATCTCTGGTTTATGTTCTCAAAAGACAGTTCGTCTCTTCATGTTGTTTCATTAACAAAATCTCCCCTTTGAGATGAATGGGATGCCGGCACCCACACAGAATCAACAATGTCAAGCCAACTCAAGAAGGGCTGCTCCTGCTTTTTTGTTTGTAGGAGTTCCTTCCTTAGTGGAGTTCTAATTTGACCCCAAGTGGGGGGTGTCTACATTTATGATTTTATTAAGTTACTTTTCAGATTGAATCCAGTTGAGGTAGAAAGACTGGCACATTAGAGGGATTTACCACTGAAGCAGAGCTAAAGAGATGCTGTGGAGTAACGAAAAGGAAACACAGCCTGTAATCAGCTTACGTGGAAATAAATGGCAAATTGTGGAAACGTGATCCTTTATGCACACTCCCTCCTCCTGTCCCAGGCAGTGGCTGTAGGTATTAAAAGAGACAAGGCAAGTAAAAGCTACAAACTCTCCGCTCATAAGTAAGAAATAAATGATAATTTGGGGTCACCCCCAAGACAATGTCATTAGAGGGTATTGTGTTTGAGGCCTTGAGAACTGAGGGGAAATCTAAAATTAGAAATAATACTGTTTCAGTTTCCCAGAATATCAAAAAAGCCATTTTTTTTAGTACTGAAGTGGATAGGAAACTATTCACTGCTACACAGGAGAACTCAGGAGAATCGGGTTTTAAGACACAGAGAAATTTGATATTAAGAAGTTCTGGCAAATTCAACCTGCTGGACTTCTGAGCAGTCAGTAGCTTCTTCCAAAACTGCAGCTCCAGCTTTGCCTTCCCCCTTACTCTACTTTTGCCTCTCCATATTAATATTTTCCTCTCCCACATCAGCATTTGAACCTGGATGTGACCCCTAGTTTTTGGCTTGTTACTACTCACAATGTGCTGTGAGTGCATCATAGTCTTACCACACTGCAGGTAGAGACAGGACAGAAATTGGAATTCAGACTAGAAGAATGGAAGAAAAAAGTATTTTTGAGGAAGAAATATAAAAGGAAACCCACTAAAAAGTTAAACGGCATATCAAAAGCCAATAGATGGATATTTTTTCCCTTCTAGGGAAAATTAGGAAAGGGTAAATTTTCCTAGAGAAAAATGTGTGTGTGTGTATGTGTGCATGTGTGCATGTGTGCATGTGTATATGTGCATGTATCTGTGTGTGTGTGAGAGTATGTGTGTGTGTGTGTTGTGTGTGTGTGTAAATTTGACCTAGCAGAGTACCATGACTCCTCTCATTTACCAGAAGGGCCCAAGATTTTATTTTTGTTTTTTGGTTTTTTTTTTTTTTTGTCTGTTTGTTTTTGCTATTGAGAAAGGAAGGCAATAGAATTTACAAAGAACCTAAGAAGATTAGTTGTTTTCATAGGCTTCATAGACAGGCTTTGTAAAGGAACAGTTCTTGAGAGAAGAAATATGTACTTGAATTTAATATTTAAATGTATGATAGATGGAAGAAGAGGAGTTCACTCCAAGAAGGTTCAGGGCCCTCGTGTACACACATCTCCTGGTGACTTGTTCTGTTATTTCAGGTTAGTGGACAGAACTGTAGCAATTCCTTTGTAGGAGAAAATCCTACCAGGCTTGGATTTTTAACAGTCCTGCTGTAAGATTTCCTAATCACTTACCCCAACACGTTTTCCAAAACTTATAGAAATTCTGTTCAGCATCCAGATCTCAGGAGCATCATTCCTGTGGTGTTGAAGAGGGTTTCAAGCTTAGTGAGAAAGGTCTACAAGAGTTTAAGGCTTAGGATAACCTGTGAACAAGGTCAGGAATAAAAACAGTATGGCCTACAAAAGCAAAGATATAAAGTCTTCCCCCATCTCTGGAAGAAGTTCATATATAGTAAACTCTCCCTGAGGCAGGAGGGTTGAAATGTGTCTGAGCACAACAGCCAATGGAAAAGAATATCTCCTTCCATTATTATATTGGGCATTGTTATTTTTTGTGTGATTAGACATGCCTCTGACCCATTAGAATGACAAAGTGCAAACAGAGCCTCAGAGGGGTGTCCTCAGGTATAACTGTGAGAATTGCCCGGGAAACAGCCTCAGAGCTCCGAGGCAACAGATTTTCATTCATTCAGCAAGTGTTTATTGGGTGCTTACCAGGTACTAGACTGTTCTAGATGCCTCAGATACGTTTGTAAATAAAACAGACGAAAATCCCTACATTCAGAGAGCTTCCATTCTATTGGAAAGAGACATAAAGTAAACAATAAACACATGAAATAAGCAAAGTATATAATATATGAAATGATACAAAGTATGGGAGAAAAAAAAGCAGGGAAAAGGGATTCGAAGTGGAAGCGGATTGCAATTTTAAATAGGGTAACAGTTGAGCAAAGATTTGAAAGATGACGGGAACTTAGCTCGAGGCTATCTAGTGCAAGAACATTTCTGGCAGACGGAACAGTAGGCGAGGAACTGAAACTGCTTTATGCCTGGAATGTTCCAGGAGTTGTTTGGAGTGAAACTGAGGGAGGGAGCGAGCAGTAGGAAATGAGGTCAGAGAGAAAAAAT